CTGCAAAAACAGAAACAATCAAATCAAACAACAGCGGTGGTTCAGGGACACATTCAGATTCCATACATGACATGTTGCCTTACATACCAATATTTCCTGATCCCTTACCGTACAACACGTCTGAGTCTGAAAACAAATGCTGAACTCATGTGGAACTAAAACTTCCGTCTTATTCCCTATGACCAGAATCATATATATAGTAACCAAATAGTCTAGTTGCCTAATTCAAACCAGAAAAAAATCCAAAACTAGGTCTGAAGCTCATCTCCTCTTACTTCCTGATTGAGAAATGTGGATCAGGCCTTGAGCCCCGCCCACCCCCTGCTGTCTCCAGGTGGACAGGTGAAAGAGCAGAGAGCATCAAGATGGTTAGAGGAGGAAACATCAGAGAGACTCAGCCACATGTTTGAGCCTCAGTCAGACCCAGACTCAGAGGAGGAGTCTGAGACCAGAACCAGAGACTAGCAGACGGATCAGAACAGCTCTCTGTACTGACAAGGTTTCAGGTGTATTTAGCCCCGCCCCCCATCCCCACAAGTTGACAGGATTGGTTCCTGAGGTTTGTGGCATATGAAACCCTGGCTGTCTGAATCTGTGTTTATGAGATTGTCATTGGTTCAGTGCAGTTCAAGGTGGAAACACTCAGTCATGGTGTTGATGATTATTTCACTCTTCATGTCTTGTATTGTATAAAACATCATAATGAGATGTTAACAAGGTTGATTTTCATCAGAGGGAAAAATTTGTTGTATCATATTGTTTGTGGTGGAAGACACTGACAAAAGATCTATTCTGTTGTTTTGTTGACTTTGTGAATGAGTCTGTGTCAGTTATTCAGACTGTGTGGAGAATAATTCAAGACTGTCAAATTGAATAACTATAATAGTAATATACCTGACATATGCTTTAAATGTTATGAAGTTCACATAACGTTCATGCATTGTATTTGGGAGAAATTCTGGAGGGAGGTGATCAATACAGTCATGATCACTTTGCCTGTGAAAATTACACTTGACTCCAAGTTGGTACTGCTACACTTGTATCCATCGAACCTCACTCTGAGAACCAAAAATACACATTTCTTAATCACTCAGCTGGAAGAAAACTGTCACACCAACAACTGGTGCTTGGATCAAGGACACTGTGCGATGTAAGTCCACGGAGAGTATAACATTTACCTTGAAAAACAAATTGGATGCTTTAGAGGAAATCTGGAAACCATTTAAAGCTTTTCTGTAGAAAATGGAGATGTAGGAGAGCTTCTGCAGGAGGAGAACTCAGGATAAGATACTTATCAGAATAGTGGTAAACCCCTGAAGTGGACAGAGGCAGGTTTTAAAATGACGCATGCTTTATGTTGATTTTGGTACCAAACACAAGGGAGAGAGAATAGGAGTATGTGGGGGTTTTTGTTTTTCTTTTTTTGGGAGGGGGGGGTATTGTGTAATAAGTTGCATAATAATGCTAATGTTTTTAAAATAAAGTGAACCCTCTATAAAAAAATTAAAAAAAAAAAAAAAACAGTGAAGAACCTTGTGTCTCTTTTCTTATTATGAACATCTCGTCTCGTGCTGATTCTCTCCTGTAATACCTGACGGTGGTTATGTTCTGTTTAACACTGTGTCTGCACAGGCAGCACAAAGCAAACAGCAGCTTCAGTACAGGCACAACACTGGTTATAGGTCAGAGAACAACACACAGCCATGGCAGTTTCATGCATAACATGGAAGAAAATAGACTTAAGGTTCTCTGTTTTTTGTGCTGACACACCAGCGAACTGCTGTTTTCCTGCGGCACACCGAGGTTATTTCCTGCTGTGGCCCCCAGTGGGAGGGAAGGCGTGGCAGAGGGTCTGGAGGGTCCACTGCTCAATATCTATCATCGAGTTCAGTGAAATCTCACACATTTAAACTTCCTGAAAATCACAACTTCATGTTCTTCATTTATCTTTTCACGTGTCATTCTCACATCAAACCACAACTACACACAGCAGATCCGCTGGTTACAACACCAAAGTGCTGCAAAGTAATCACAGAGAACCTCTGTGCTCATGTGCACATCATCACAACAGTTCCCATGGTCGCATGAAAAGTCTTACATCACTTTGCGGCGCTCCAAATGTTGAGAGCACAGGTCGACCAACATGATGCAATAGAGACAACTGACTGAGAGTGTTACTTTTGAAATCCTAATTCATTTGTGGATGTTGCAATATGAAGACACATATTCAGTTCATTTCATTATCTGATTTTCAGCATTATTTTATCTAAAGCAGATAAATCCAGACTGAATTTACCATTCGACCACATCTTCAATTCAACTTCCACTGTAACAGCTACGACAATGATGACATGACAAATAAAACAGCACACTACTGTGCACAGGAAACATGATGACAGATAGATATTCAACATGTCTGAAATGAATTCGAAAGTGAATTATACTGTGGCTGAAATTTCAAATTCAGAAAGCTGGTGAAGCTTGATGAAGATGTTTTCTGAATTTGTCTGTTTACATGTGTTTTCTTATGTTGAGGTCTAGAATTCAACTTAAAAGAGACTTGATCTGTCTCAACTGTCAGGCCAAACCCTAACCCTGTGTTTAAAGGTGATGAAAAGTAGTAAATGTGATTGGCTATGATTGTCACAATCTCTAACACGCACATCTATAATGTAAGATCACTGATTACACCGCAGCAGAGCCAGGTGCAGCTGGCCGCACTTGTTCAGGAAAAAGAGGCCTAAACCTAAGAAGATGCTTCTTGTTGCAGTTTGTGCATTAAGCTACAGTGAAGAGTAAAATGTGCCTGAAACACTCACTGTAAAAGTTACATTAAAAGATTCCATTTCCACACATATGTACAGTATCACTATACCTACATTTATTTTTCTCAAAATGCCAAATTTTGCTGTAACAAATATATTGATCCTGGACTATTGGAATTTAGGAAATGCATTACTATCCACTGGAGATCCACTATTCTGTCAAACCCTTCACGGTGTTTCAATGATTCTTTAACTCGACGTTTATAATGAGTTGAAAGTTCAAACCAATAAAACTAATGTGCATGTCTTTGGACTTTGGGAGGAAGCCGGAGAACCCGGAGAGAACCCACCCAGACACAGGGAGAACATGCAAACTCCCCAGGCCCGAGGTTCCAACCCAGAAACCCTCTCGCTGTGAGGCGACAGCGCAAATCCTCAGATTTCAGAAGCTGGAACCATGACAACAGACTTGAACAGTGATCTGTCCATCAGCAAATCAATTCATTGACTCATCTTTCTAGTTGTCTGTGAACATTTTACTGTTCAAATACATAAATAACATATATAAACAACATTTCCTCAGTACATTAACAGAAAACCATCATGTCTGGGAGACGAGGTTGGACGGGCTGATGCAGAGAAAAGCTCCACAGCTGTCTTTCTCCTGCATGTACAGTGTAAGAGGGATTTTATGAGGTTCTGCTGGCTTGAAGGAATTAAGACGATCTGCCAACATTAAGACCTTGAAATAAAGAAAATGTGAAGGCTTATTTCCTCCTGTTAAACACACGCAGTGATAATTACTGACTCACCTAGAGTTAAGATTTAGATTTATCTCAGCCTGCTCAGTTTGAGCATGAAGGTGAGAGGTTTACTGCACAGGCTGCCGTCTGGCCCTCAGTCCTCTACTACAACTACAGTTCATTTACACTGCACATCAGCTCACATGCAAAAATACAACTACAAGGCTTCACATGTGAAAATACACACATGCAAGCACATACACACACACACACACACACACACACACACACACACACACATACAGGCAGAATCAAATCTGCCCATATGTGCCCTCAAAATCTTATACATTGTGTAGGCCTCCATGGTGTAGCTGTGTAAATATGATTGACAGCAGCGTTGCCCTTGAGCTTATAGATTTAATAAGATAATTAACAAAAAAATTCCTGGATAAATTTTGAACATGCCTGCTGCTTGGTTCATATGGATCAGCTGTCAGATGCTGCTGGGTATTTGTGCAAACAGATGTGAGGGAACACTGGATCGTAGCCAGATGTGATGGCGGCATTCATGTAGGAGCATCTGAAGCATTGCTGGTGATACTACTGTATGTGTTTGTGTGTGTGTGTGTGTGTTGGTAGAAACTACTTCACTTTTCCACCACAGAGCCTTTAATTAGCTCCTCTGACCTGGTTTAGACTCTTATTTTGAAAGTGTATCCACGTGGTGGGGATGGAGTGTGTCTATCAATGTGTGTGGTAGTATAAATTGCTTCAGCTTTTATACAGCAGAGCCTCCAGTAAGCTCCTCTGACTCGTCCCAACACTTCAATAAAGACAATGATATATTTTATGTGTACTTACAGTTTACAGATGAGGTTTTATCACAGTTTAAAAACTCCCCTCAACTGTTTTTTAACTTCAGAGCTCAGTTTAACATGGGCGTCTATGGGAGCTTTGGACATCACTCTCTGTACTTAGGGGGGATTTCATCAACAAACATTAAAGTTATCATAATGAGACCAATGCTGGAGGATAAATTTCTCTATGTTTTTATATATAAATTAACTATGAAGGTTGGAAATTGTTGGACTTAAAAGAGGTTGTCAGGTCTTTTTTTTTTTTAGGAAAATTTTCAGCTATGGCAGTTAGAGTGCGTGTGATGTCATCACTCTAGCTCTGAACATTATGTGCAATACACACCCATTATAAAATCTGAAACGGTCTAAAAATGACACAAAATGTGAACCTTGGTTTTGTGAAAACCATGATAGAGAAATACAGATTTCACCCAACACAAGTCTCAAGTCTTGTGACCTGTTTAAAGTTCCAACCATGTTTCTACATTAAAGTATGATGAAGCAGTAGACACTCTGTCTCTGTGATATGACTCACACAATAACTGAGGCGCAAACAAAGAATCAAACACCTAAGCACTTTGTTATTTCCTCCAGTTGCTAAAGCATGAAACCTACTGTCTTCCTTTCCTGTCTGG